AGAGGGAAAGTCGCTGAGTTGTGTCCAACTCTTTGTGACCCCATGGACTGTAGCCCACCAGGTTCCTCTGTCCATGGGATTCTCCAGGCAAGAATACTGGAGTGGGTTGCCATTTCCTTCTCCAGGGGATCTTCCCGACCCAGGGATCGAACCCAGGTCTCCAGCACTGTAGGCAGATTCTTTAACATCTGAGCGACCAGGGAAGCCCAGTTCTAATACTTAATAGACTTTTAAATTTTCTGAGTAAAAGACCATCATGCCATCTGTAAACAATAATGATTTTGTTTCTTCCCTTCCAATCATTACATCTTCTATTTCGTTTTCTTGCCTTAGAGCACTAAATAGCACCTACAGGTACAGTAAAAGCACCTATATATTTACCATTTGGTCCTTATAGAATATTTACTAATCTATACTTTACACCATAGTGGGTGAAAGTCTCTCACTTGTGTCGACCCTTTGCGACCCCACGGGCTATACAATCCATGGAATTCTCCGAGCCAGAATACTAAAGTAGGTAGCCATTCCCTTCTCCAGGGTATCTCCCCAACCCAGGGATCGAACCCAGGTGTCCCTCTTTGCAGGTGGATTCTTTACCAGCTTAGCCACCAGGGAATCCCAAGAATACTGGAGTGGGTAGCCTTTCCCTTCTCCAGTGGATCCTCCCAACCCAGGAATCAAACCGGGGTTTCCTGCATTGCAGGCAGATTCTTTACCAGTTGAGCTACCAGGGAAGCTTACAGCATAGATTTAAGTGTAAGACCAAAGACACCAGAATGAAGGAAACTTAGAGGCCTCTAAACATACATTGAAGTTAAATGTCATTTCTTATTTAAATTAGTTTATCCCTACTCAAAAAAATGACATTTAACTTCAGTGTGTGTTTAGAGGCCTCAAGTTTCATTCATTCTGGTGTCTTTGGGCTTCTGCTTGTGTATGTTTCTGCTTGTGTGTATGTTCACATCTTAAGAAGATGTGAACGTGGATCATCACTTTGAGTTGAATGAGAAGACATGAGCTGGGAGAGAAAGGTATTAGAGCAGGATTTGGGGCAAGGGTGATCACTGAGAAGAAAGAACAAGACCACACTGTTCAGAAGTTCTGAATGTTTCCGAGTCCACTAAATTCAAAAGTGACTACATTGTCACCTCCCCCTTTATCTTCCTGAAAATTCCTATCCCAAAGCCTTAGATAGGGTCACTCACAGTAGGATCTGTGCCAGGGTTGGGTGGAGGGAGCCATGTGGCCCAGGGTGGGGTGTCAGAGCTCAAGTGGAATGAGAAGGGCCTCCAAGTAGGAAAAGGGATGCTTGGTGCAGAACGTTGGAACTGAACCAGGGTCAGGAGGGTGGGAGAGGGGTGGCCTGGCACGGGTTACTGGAGCCCAGGTGAAATGAGGCAGGCATCTGTGTAGGAGGGCTGCCTACCATGAGGTGGCAGAGGCCCGTGGGGGTGAGGAGGTCATCTATCTGAGAGGGTAGCCTGGCAGAGGGTGTCAGAGCCTGGGGCGAGTTGCAAAGGTCATCTCTGCAGGGAGAGAGAGGCAGCAGCAATGGAAGGTTGATTCTACAGTATGGTGGGGATGGGGGAGGTTAATCCAGCAAGTAAATATACTCCATTAAGTATAATGGAAGTGAGGTTTCTCACCACCAAAGAAGGGGGTTATAAATATGTAAACTGGTTGGCCTAAAATCAAAGGTAACTATTCGAACCCATGTTTTTGATATGGATAGCTATAGAAATAAACCTAGATGTAAATATGTGTGTGTATATATACATATATGGGGCTTACTAGGTGTCACTAGTGGTAAAGAACCCCTGCCAATGCAGGAGACATAAGAGACTTGGGTTTGATCCCTGGGCTGGGAAGATCCCCTGGAGGAGGGTACCGTATTCCAGGGAGGCACTGCTATTCCAGTATTCTTGCCAGGAGAATCCCATGGACAGAGGAGCTTGGCGGGCTATGGTCCATAGGGTTGCAAAGAGTTGGACACAACTGAAGTGACTCAGCATGCATGCACATACTTGTCATGCCCTCTCACTGAATTGGGGATCCAGCTCCCAGCTCACTGAAAGCCAGCTGATAGATGAACATCTAGTCTTGCTGACATATTATTGTCTGAAGTTACCTCTTTGCACTCCAATAGGGCCTTTTGGACCTGTAATGCCGTCCAAAGGGTGGCAAAGAGTCAGATACAACTGAAGTGACTTAGCACATATGTGTGCGCGCACACACACACACACACACACACACATGCATATATTACACACAGAAGTACACTTTTGCACCACACACTGCATTCCTATCTCTGACCACCAAGAGGACCTGACCCCAGTGGTGTTCTGATTCAATGAACACATCTAGCATCTGGCTCTTGGCGTGTGGATACTATTCTCTGCTGAAAGGAACCAGGAATTCTTAGAGGTAATGGTTCCTTCCTTAGCTGGGGCTGGGAAAATCCAAGATGGGTGTGGAACAGTGAATATCAAGAGCCTGGGAAATGTTCATAAGCTTTAAGATAGAAATTCTTTTTTTAGGAAACTATCCTAAATGAAATCACTATAAATGCTGAAAAAATTTTAGCCATAAATATGCTCATTACTTTATTGTGTGTAATAAGCAAAATTGGTAAGCAAAAAGCAATAAGCAAAAAAATAAGCAAAAAGAATAAGGTGACACAAAATAGTAATGAATATTCACTGAATTGGATGTTATACAGACAATAAAATCAAGTATATGAGAATGCTTATATTATAATGTTAAATTATAAATGGAGCATCTGGATTCAGAATGAGTGAAACATCTCACCCAGGTCTGGCTCTTCCTTGCAACTTGCTAGAACCCCTTCTGCTACATCTCATGTACCCAAGTGTATATCAATGCCTTGAATTGTGGTTAAATTCTTGCTGTTTCAATATCTTGACTCTTCTGCTCTCAAAAACCATCTACCCTCTTAGGTTTATACCATTTAGCCAAACAACTCTCTACCCCTCCACCTACCACGGTCATCTTTTTGTCATTGTCTACACCTGCCCTCTGGGCTTCCTGGGTGACTCAGTGGTAAAGAATCCACGTGCCAGAGCAGATGTGGGTTCGATCCCTGGGTCGGGAAGATCCCCTGGAGAAGGAAATGGCAACCTAGGCCAGGATTCTTGCCTGGGAAATCCCATGGATAGAGGAGCCTGTCGGGACACCCTCCATGGGGTCGCAAAAGAGTCAATTTAGCAACTAAACAGCAACACTCCCCCTCATTCATGGAAAACCAGGGCATCAGTTTCCCACAATTCCTCTCATTGCCAAGTCTCACACGTCCTAGGGAGCATCTCTGGACACACAGACAGTGCATCATGGTCTCTCATTTTACTTAATTTACATCCCAGAGCCAGAGTTGTTCTTCCCTTCTAATCTAATTTAGCAATCTGATGCCAGGCCCTTTGGACCTCATTATTACACAGTACTGATCAGCTTTGAAATGTTAAACTTCCAGACTCCACCATAAAACAGTTTTTCTGCTCTTTACTTAGCAACTTCAGTTTTCTTATCCCTCTGTCCTAATGCATCCATCCTGTTATTCTGAATCTTTGGATAGCTAGTAATTAGCAACCTCCTAAGACTTAGGTTAAGTGGCAGTTTTTGAATAGCAACGTCGTTAAACATCCTCAGCCTGGCCAGATCCCATGCAATCTTCCTCTTCTATTAAGTTGTAAATGAAAGATCTGGTTTTTAACTCAAGGTTTGAACATCAACAAACAGTTGTCTTTTATTACATGAGTCATCCTGTTAGTAAAATGCTCTTACTTCAAAGTTTCTATTTATCTAGAAGCTAAAAAAAAAACACTTTAGCTTAATAAAAAACTAAAAGAATATAAATAAAAAGGATTTGGACTTGGAAAAAAAAAAACTCAGATACTCAAAATGATACAGGAAAGCACACATTGGCAGTCAAGGTTCTCACTTAACCCAGAAGGCCCTATAAATTCTTGACAGTCCCACAAAGAGAGGAAAGAGGTTACATTCTGTTCAAAAGAACTTTCTTGTATTTTGAAAGATCTTAGTTCTTTGAAAATTAATAGTCTTGAAACGATAACTTCTGTTTAGTTTGAGAGAGCCTGCTAAGGAGATTAAAGAACCTTAGTTCTCTGACTGTTCCGATAAAGCATTGTTCCTGGGTTTTCAAAATTACAGTGATATAACCAATCATTTGTTTATTTGATGTTGTGTGTAAACTTGCTCTTCAGATTTAAGGAAAATAATATTCAAAGCAAGGTTTGAGGCTTATGTTCATGGATTGCAACAACTAACGCGTGTCTTGTGGCCGCTGCTGCTGCTGTCACTTCAGTCGTGTCCAACTCCGTGCGACCCCATAGACAGCAGCCCACCAGGCTCCCATATCCCTGGGATTCTCCAGGCAAGAACACTGGAGTGGGTTGCCATTGCCTTCTCCAATGCATGAAAGTGAAGTCGCTCAGCCGTGTCCGAGCCTTCGAGACCCCATGGACTGCAGCCCACCAGGCTCCTCCATCCATGGGATTGTCCAGGCAAGAGGACTGGAGTGGGGTGCCATTGCCTTCTCCGGTGCCTTGTGGAACTATATGCATTTAATGGATTCTCTCGAAGATTAGGGTGACTCAGTTGATGCTCTTTAAAATATAACTGCTTTGGGTCATTTTACAAGATCGCCTCATTTCTTAATGTTTGTGTGTCTTTTACTTTATTACTTGTTCTATTTATATTTCCTTGTTTGTTGTGCCTCTTAAAAAGCTGTATATGTGAAAATCTCACCAGTACTAATCCTTTTAGGCATGAAGAAAAATTATCTGTAGAGAAAGTAAATAAATTCTTTATGAAGTAAATAAATTCAGGAAATACATTCAACCCAGTAAATGACTCGATTATCTACCTGATGTGATATATACTTTACTCATTTTCCAGATCATCAAATTCAGGGTTGGCGAGATGATTTGCTCATGGTCACATAGGTTGGAAGGGATGGAGTGATGACCCAAATGTATTCCTCCTTTCTTCTGGCCCAGTGCTCCTGTGGGAGAAGACACAGAAGTGGTAGAGGGACTTATATTGCAGACATGATCAAGAAACAAAAAACAAAGTAAAATCATAGATTAGAAAGTATATCTAATGGCATCTTTGGTATTAGCAATGGATCCTCCTTAGGGCATTCTTCAAAGACTTAAAATATAGTTTAATAGGTAAAAAATAAATATACACTTTTTTTTAAAAGAGAAGTCTCTACTCTAATTGAGTAATAAAATATTAGAAAGGCTAACTATGGAACTACCAATCATGTTGTATTAGGGAAACACACTGCTTTAGTATGACTTCATCTTAACTGACCTGACAGCTCTTTACTCTCATCTCTTGTCCACCTCCCTTCACCCGTGGAAGAATGGGCTGGAGGGCTTAAAGAAAATGAGTGTTACACACAGAACCGCTTCCCTTTAGCTCACCAAGACTGAACCTGACCATCTTTTCCTGTAGGATAATTCCTCTCTGCTTCCCCTCACTCTCTTAAACAATTTAGACTCCTAACGAATTCCCTCTTTTGTTCCTCAGTTATGCCCAGTCAAGATCACACTGGCTGAACCTCATTAGCGAGCCTTCATTATACTGAAAAAACCTTCAAGCCTTTTTAAACTCATGCCCACTTTCTCCTGATGCTTGTGTCTTTTTAGTTGTGGATATTCTCTAGAGCTGAGAGGCTATCCATCAATAATAATTAGAATTGAGGGAGGGACCATTAGTTGATCCTTTAGTATGAAGAGCAATATTGGTGGTATTGTCCATTTGATTTCTTGCCATTATTGCTTATTATTGGAATTATTATAAGAGAAATATATGTTAATGTTATCTAAGCCTAAATACTCTTCTGACTGATAGATCATTTTCTCAGTCTGTATGTGAAGTAAAAGACAGGTTTCATTTTTAAAAGTGTTTTTAACAAAACAAATATATGTCATAAATAACATAGGTCTTAAAATCCCCCCAAAAAATGTTTCAAAAAAACTCCCTCCTAAAGAATTATAGTTAAGATAGCCCAAGAACTAGAGTTTGCAGGGCATTAGGACTGAATCTTGGCATCTTATTAGTTTTTTTTTAACAGATGTTGTATGGTTATTCAAAAGAACATACAGTATTGTAAAAGCTCTGAAAGCCAAAAAGGTCTATTGTTGTCTTACTATCAACAATATTAATGGTTCTTTAAAATCCATGGACCAATGATTTACATCATTTCATGAGAGCATACCTCTTGTTATTCAAAGAAAATCTTATAATGGTTTATTTTTTTTTAAAAAGTCCTAAAAACCATCACGTGACCTACGGTAAGGTCATGAGACTAAGTCACGAAGCTTTTGGAAATTCTTCTCCAGCATTCTGACCTCCATCTGGCGGTGACATCATAATGTCCTCGATAGTTACAGGACCTGCTGGGCAGCAGAAGGGAAACTCTGAGACACAGTAGATCACTGGATAAATCACGTTGTTTTCCCAATGAATTTTATATGGTTTATTTTTTTATCTGGGGTTTTCACCCCAGAGATTAGTGGTATAGAGCCCCCTTATGAAGGTGAGTAAGCATTTAAAACTTTCACTCAAATAGCAGATAAGAAACTTGATCCATTAGCCTAGAAAATTGGTCCATGGCAATTTTTTTAAAAATTTAATTGAAGTATAATTGATTCACAATGCTGTGTTAATTTCTCCTCCACAGCAAAGTGACTCCGCTATACAAATATATTCTTTTTCATATTGTTTTCCATGATGGTTTATCATAGGATGTTGAAGGTTCCCTGTGCTCTACAGAGGGAGTTTGTTGTTTATTCCTCCTGTATGTAATAGTTCGCATCTGCTAACCTGAAACTCCCAGTCCTTCCCCCTCCACCCCCGGCCCCTTGGCAACCGCAGATCTGTTCTCTGTGTCTGTCTCATAGACGTGTTCATTTGTGTCCTATTTTAGATTCCACATACAAGTGATATCATACGGTATTTGTCTTATTCTTTCTGACTTTCTTCACTTACTATTATATTATAATCTCTAGGTTCACCCGTGTTGCTGCAAATGGCATTATTTCATTCCTTTTTACGGCTAGTTGGTATTTCATTGTATGTGTATATACACACACCATATTCTCTTTATCTATTCATCTCTCAGAGCACATTAGGCTGTTTCCATGTCTTGGCTATTGTAAGTAGTGCTGCTATGAGTATAGGGTCCATGTATCTTTTTGAATGAAAAGTTTCGTCTTGGTATATGCCCAGGAGTGGGATTGCTGGTTCATATGGCAACTCTATTTTTTAGTTTTTTGAGGAACTTCCATTCCGTCCTCCGTGGTGGCTGTATGAATTTCCATCCCCACCAATGGTATAGGAGAGTCCACTTTTCTCCATACCCTCTCCAACAGCCCAAGGCAATTTTCTTCAGGGTGATATAAAGTGCATTGTTGGAAATATGATATAACTTAGATTTTAAATCTCTGTCTCATATCCTTTGTGAAGAAAATGCAGTTTAAAAAAAGTAGTGAAAGGGAGCAACACATTTCTGACCTCTGGTCATGCTTTTTTTCAGAGCATGAGATGAGGCCCATACCTGAGCTGCCTGTGGCTGAAAATCCCCATACAATGGAAGAAGAAAATAAGGAGCATACTCCGGAGAAAACCGGCGATAATTATAAAGATGTAAAAGAGTGTAAGTTTTCCAAGTTAATGGCAATACATATGCAAAAGATGATTAGACCGATTTGATTTGTAAGCTGTAAAATTTCTATAATCATTTTATTTCCTATTTAAATTTTAATTTACCTTATAGACGTTTTGGTATATGAAATGGCATTCTTATTTTCTTCAACTTTTTCCATGAAATATTATGAAGTTTAATAAGATTTGGTAACTGTCTATAATTTATATAGGATTTATCCTAGCAGCATGGTTATTTATTCACATTAGTAACAATTGAACTAATTCTGTGGTGAGATAAGCAAAATTTATTTGGAGATGTGTGTCAGTTTCCTAGGGCTTCTTGAAATACAGTACCACGAACTAGGGGACTCAAAACAAAAGAAATTTATTCTCTCACAGTTCTCACAGAAGCCAGAGATCCAAAATCAAAGTTTTGGTCAAACCATACTCTCTCCAAAGCCTCTAGGGCGGTGGTCCCAAAACTTTTTGGTACTAGGGACCAGTTTCATGGAAGACAGTATTTCCATGGATGGTGTGGAGGGGGATGGTTTCTGAATGACTCAAGCACATTACGTTTATTATGCCTCCTCTGATCTGATAGGAGGCAGAGCTCAGGCAGTAACGGGAGCCGTGGGCTGAGGCTGTAAATACAGATGAAGCTTTGCTTGCTCACTCACCTGCCACTCGTGTCCTGCTGTGAGGCCCAGTTCCTAACAAGCCACGGACGTGGCCCAGACTCTAGAAGACTATCCTCCCTTGCACCTCCCAGCTTCTGGTAGCCCCAGGAACTCCTTGGCTTGGAGCAGCAGAACTCCAGTCTCTGCCTCTGTCTTCACAAGTTCTTCCTGTGTCTCCATGTCCAAATTTCCCTCTTCTCAATAAGGACACTGTTTTTGTTTAGGAGCTCACCTTCTCCCATGTGACTTCATCTTAACCAGTTAAATTGTCAATGACTCAATGTTCAAATTAGGTCACATTCTGCAGTGCTGCCGGCAAAAACTTCAACATAGCTTTTTGGGGCAAACAAAATTCAACCCATAACAAGATGACTTTGAGATGTTTGGAAGGTCTGCTAAATTGCAACTTATTCACCTTTCTTCATACAAGCTTTCCATGTCCTTATAAGGTCCACCATTTTAAAATGTGAAAAGTTCATAAAAAACTCTTGTTAAAAATTAAAAATAATTAAGATTAAATCTAACTATACTGGAATTTTTAATAATATTAGTCAAAGAAAAAATAGAAATACAATGAAGATATACATATATACATATATTAAGTACTTTGTAAACTATAATTAGTATATAAGTTGTATTTCTATTCTTTCTTTGATGAATCCTCTTTTGTAGGTGAAAAAAAATCCCTGATGCTCAGCGTGGTCAATCGCCAGGTTTCATAGCTACAAAGAAGCAGTGTCAGGAGTGGTGTCTAATCTATCCAACACAGGCTGTGTCTACTATGCGTAGATTGCAAAATGATGCAGTTGTTTCCTTTTCAGGATGTCTCTCTATTTTTAATTCCCAGAGATTAAATAAACCAAGAGCCTGATGATTACTTTGATTAAAAAATCTTTCTTACACACACACACACACACACACACACAGACACTCATAACATAAGTGGGACTAAAGAATTGTATTATGACATGCTTTTTCTCATATAAGAACTCTGGAGTTTTTTTCATGTATACCTCATTATTTTTAATGGATATATAGTATTCCATGAAATGATTTATCATAATTAATTCACTGTCTTATTAAAGAATTAGATTATATGCAGTTTTTTTCTCTTGTACATTGTTCTCACATACACTTAAGTGTATCTCTGTTTGGATAGATACCAAGTACTGAAATTTTTGAATCAAGGATAAATCTTTTAAAATATTGATAGGTAACACCAAATTGTACTCTAAAACACATCTATCAAGAATGCTCCACAATGTCACATATACTGAATAATGTTAATCATGTTTTGTGAATAAGTGAGAATTTTCATTACTGTTTTAATTTGCACTCTGATTACTTGTGAAGCTGAGAATGTTTCTTTATATTTATTGGGCATTTTTATTTCTACTTTTGTGATTTTCCTGTTCATATCCTTGGCCCATTTTTTCTATTAGATTGTATTTTCATTTATTTGTAGGGTCTCTTTTTCATATTTAGTATATTCAATCTTTTCTCTATGGTAAAAGTAACAAGTATTTTCTCCCAGGCTGTTACTCACCTTTAAACCTGTTTAAGTATTCCAATCACAGAGAAAATTTAAAATTTTATAAGATCAATTCTTGATTAATCAATTTCTTTACAACTTCTTCACATTGTATCTTGTTTAGGTAGGCCTTATCCAATCCATATATTAAATTATTTTCCAGTTTTTTGAATAACTTCATATTTTATTAAAACTCTTAGGTCTTAAATTAAATTATTTTTGTATATGGTGTAAAATAGCCATAAATCTTTACATTTTTCGAAGAGGATTGCCAGTTGTCTAACACTAATTGCCTACTGATATGAAACTCACATTTAATATAATCTAAATTCCATTTGAAATTGGGTCAATTGTTATTAATACCTTTTCATTGTTTCTTTGATCTGTCATTCCCTGCAAAGGTCCACAGTGTTTTAGTTTTTATACTCTAATAACTCATAGCATTAAATATTGACCTATGATTTTCTCCTATTTCTCCATTGACCTACCTCAGAAATTTTTCAAAATTAGTGACTCTGTGTGTGTGTGTCTGGGTGTTGGGGGAAATGAATATATATGTATATATTAAACACACATACACATTCATGTGTGTAAAATTTTCTGTCATTTCATGAGATTTTGGAAAGAGGAGATCTGTGTATGTATGTTCAGTCTGGCACCTTGATCCATTTTACTTTGACTCTAATTGAATAGATACATCCATTAATTTTAAATTACAACCAGCGTCACTGACAACTCTTTCAGAGCAGGATTCATTATTTGCATATGTAAATGTGAATCCATTTGGGAGATCGTGATTGTTATTGAAATATGTGCTTTTTAAGCTGAACTATTACAGTCCAGCAGAAGGTTCAAGGGCAAGTGAATGCTTCTTACTTGGCTAAAATTTAACAATGTTAATACAAACAGTAATGATATTCAGTTCAGTTCAGTCGCTCAGTCATGACCGACTCTTTGCGACCCCATGAACCGCAGCACGCCAGGCCTCCCTGTCCATCACAAACTTAACTCATGCCCATCGGGTCGGTGATGTCATCCAGCCATCTTACACATCTACAAACCTCCTTCAGCACCCATCATGCATTTGTATATGTTTTTTGTAATTTCCTTAATAGTTGCTTTTCAGAAAGAATCATTTAGCATAAGGATGCTAGTTTGGTTTTTCCCCCATGAATTTTATTTTTGACCCTTGCCCCACTTGTTATTTCGTAGCTGAAGAATGTCCCAAATACTTTATTATTCTTTTTTTAAAATTAGTGTATATGTTTTAGGAAAAAATTCAGATGAGGAAAAATGTGAAAGGAACAAGAAGTGACTTACCTAGCTGCTGAAAAGTTTTGATCTTATGTTTTCAGATGTCTTCACAACACAAAATCCAAATGGCACACAGTCTGAAATATCCGTGAGAGCAACAACTGATCTGAATTTTTCTCTGAGAAACTGTAAGTAC